TCCCTACAGGTTTTTTTGACCCTCTTTCCTATAGCATCCAGCATTCAGAGAACCAGGGAGTCCTAGTTTGGAAGCTACATATTTAATACGCACCAATTGGCCTGCTGTGCATGAATGTACCTGATTCTCTTTGGAACTTGGTTAAATTACTTGTCTCCGCAACATTTTGTGACAAGTTTCCCAAGTTAACTCTGTGCTGTGTAACAAATAACTTTCTGTTAGTTTTAAATGTTTCCTTATAAGCTCCTTGTGCACTCTCTGTCTTCTTTTGAATGGAAGGGGGAACCAGAACTGCACGCATTATTCAAGGTATGGGTGCATCATGGATTTATACTGTGACATAATGACATTTTCTGTTCTGTTTTCTTAACAATTCCTAATGCTCTGTTCACCTTCTTGATGACTACTAACCACTGGGCTGATGTTTTCAGAGAACTATCCACAAGAGCTCCAAGGGCTCTTTCTTCAGTAACAGCCCTTTAATTTTGCCTTTGATAAGGTAAATATATTGAATCCAGTATAATAAGTAATACGCATACTGAGTATGTACTTCCCAGTTCATTAGTTCTGGTGCCCCTCCTCTGAATCCTTTCCAATTTTGCAACATCCTCCTTGAATTGTAGACAGCAGAACTAGACACACACTTCCTGTATTAGCCACGTCAGTCTCTTTAAACTCTTCCTCAGTATTCCCTTGGCTATACCAACATGTTGCATTGGCCTTTTTGGTCACAGCATGGCATAGAAGCTCCTGTTTAGCTGATCATTTCACACTCTGCTTCCCAAGATAACATCCCCATGTTTAAAATTTGGCCTGTATTCTTTGGGCATTTATAGACATGCTCCAGAAGTGGGAGCGGGGTGTGCTTTAATTAGAGTGGTTCTGAGAGCCGCTCTAATTAAAGTGTCTGGAACATCATGTGTATCAGTGTCCCCACACTGAATAATGGTGGCAGGGGCATTTTAACTAAAGCTCGTTGAATGAGCTTTAGTTAAAGCATCCCTGCCACCATTTTTCAGCACAGGGACACTGATACATGTGACGCTGGAGACTGCTGAAGTGCAATAATTACCATGCTCCAGCAGATGCAATTAATCAAGTGTGCTCTGATGTGCTGTAATTACAGTGCATCAGCGCAATCTCACTGCACATGTATAGGTGCCCTTTGTTTCCAGACACATCATTTTACACGTGGCTGCAATCAAGTGTGTTTTTTTTTACTTGTGCCCAGCTTACCTATGTCAGGAATCTTTCTTTCTCAGTGTTCACAACTCACCAAATCTTTGTCATCCACAAACTCCATCAGTAATTATGCTGTTTTCTTCCAGTTCCTTGATATGAAGGTACAGTGGCAGAGGGCCAAGAACTGACCCTAGTAGGAGCCACAAAAAACACGTTTGCTCCATGATGCTTCCCCATTTACAGTGACATTATTAGACCTTTTAATTAGCTAGCTTTTAATATCTTTTTTTTGTGTTGTGTGCCATTGCTGAGTCAAACACCTTGCAGTAGTATGTCAGTGCTATATTGTTACCAACAAAGCTTGCAGTCTCATCAAAAAAGATATCAAGGTTGTTTGATAAGACCTATCTTCAGTAAAGCCATATTGATTGGCATTCATTGTGTGTCCCCTTTTATTTTCTTACTAGTCCAGTCATGTGTCAACAATTCCAGTATTTTGCCTCAGATCAATGTTGAGCTGACAGGCAGATTTACACTTAGTTTGTAGCATCTATCTTTCTTAAATAAAGGACAAACCATTATCTTTATTTTAGTATTTACTAACTTCCCCAGATGCATTGAAGATGAGCATTCATGCCTCAGAGAGCTCTTTGACCAGACCTATAAGACTTCGGTGCAAGTTATCACACCTGCTCTTTTAGAAACATAGAACTTTAGTAGCTGTTCTTTAACATCCTCCTCAGTTCCTGTTGGGTTACATAGAAAGTTTTGGATGATCATTGTCAGGACATATGACCTTTGCCAAAATACAGACTGGAAATATGTATTTAATACTTCAGTCTTTTCTGTATTAGTGATGATAATTCTGTTGCCATCTAGTAATGGAGCAGCACCATTGTTAGGATTCCTTTTGTTCCTAATACACTTTATAAACTCACATATTCCCCTTAACTGCTAGCTGCTGATTTCTCCTTCTGGCCTTATGCTACTATTTTTAATTTTCTATGATTCCTAACTTCTAATTTTTATCATCATTATCAACTTTTTTTCATTCCCTTGAACTGTTTCTTTTACCTTTGCATACTTCTTTCTCAATTGTGGGACTGTAGCTTTTTTAGGCTCTTAGTAAATTATCCATAAATGGTTCCAAATCAACATTCACTTTTTTTCTCTTTAACTTTGTTTCTCCAGCTGATTCAGCTCACAGGTTTCTTCAGCTTGGTAAAACCAGACTTTTTGAAGCACCAAGTATATGCTGATGCTTGATTGAGTTTTATTCTGCTTGCACACAACCGGGATAGTCAAGTCACCATCAGTAGTACCAATGCAACAACACACCTCAATGAAAACTGAGTTTGCTCAGTACCTTGTAAAGTTAACTGGGTCATCATGAGTCAGTGGCAAAGGTGCAATAAGACCCCTAGACTGCAGTGTTTTTCTCAATCTGCCTGATTATGGGTCAAGCATAACAAAAATGAAGCTTTCACAAACAAAGTAGTAGGATATTGCCTGTTGTTTGGCTGTTGTGAGAACAAACCCAAAGGTTGCCATAAATATTTTACTGACTTCAGCAGCAGTTTCCAGCTGTTTCCTTTATATGCCGTGGGCAGAAGAGTGGTTTTCCATGTTTGTTTGATGCCTGTGGTCTGCATCCAATTAAACTTGGCCAAGCTTCCCAGCATGGAAGTCTGCCTAAGCCTAGTGTAACTCCAAACACTAGATTCCTTTCAGCGCTTGTTAGACTTTGTGTAGGAACCTGGAATCACTTATATTCAACCTGGTCCAGTTGGTAGATCCCTATTTACCACCATGTAATTAATTCAATTGATATGTATGGGAGGGAAAACCCTCCCAAGGGTTGATAGGGTTACAAAATGGGAACAAAATAAACTTATTTTCTATACTGTTGTAGGGATGCGGGATTTGGTGAAAACCTGCCTCCAATAATGCACAGTTTAGAAGTTCTGCATTTGGGCTACAATGGAATTAGCAACATGACCCAACTGCAGCTCAGTAGATTGAAAAACCTGAAGTTTCTCTTTTTACAGGGTAAGTAATAACAGCATTTTTGTTGCCATTATTTAATGTTCTGCAGTGTATTGGTACACCGCTTTGGCCATAGGAGAATCGATGGATGGTTCCATATTCACTCAGTATAGGTTGGGTGTTAGATTAGGAAGGCTTTTAGTCCCTGTGCTAGTGATGTAGGAAAGAGAACACATATGGGACTGCCCTCACTTATGGCATTGACAGAAGATGCTTTACATATAGAACAGCAGACCTCTGCCTTGCACTGTCATTAAGTCTCCCTACCCTGGGAAGAGAAGGGGTAGCTGATGCAGAAAAACTCCTCTTCCAGCTTTTTGCCAGCAGCTGGTTCTTGTGCTGAGGAAATTCCCAGCTGACTAGTTAGAATGTGGCCCCTCCAGATCTCATTTAAGAATCTAGCCCACAGTTCTTGTTGCCACATGTAGCCCCTAAGGCATCACTAGGGCTACATATAAGAGCTAGTGCTCTGCTTTGTTGCAAGTGCTTGCAAGATTGGACCCTTAGCTAAGAGAGAGAGAGATGCTGGCATGTGTGGCACTACCTTACTAGCTACCGCCATTTCAAAGAATTTAAGCAGCCATAATGACTTATCTGTGGCTTGTTCTTCAGGATCCCCAGTATTAATTAGGAAGATAATTTGCTTTATATAGAGCTTACCAAAGCAATTTCTACCATTGGTTTCTGCATCAGAACACCCAGTGGAATTGGAAGGTGGTAGATTGAATATGGATCAACAAAGAAAGACCTGTTTATACAATGTTCAAGTAATCTAGGAAGCTTATAGCTTGCTTTGGCTGAAGATTGTTTTTTGGGTAACACTGAATGCCCGGTATATTGCATCTCACTCCCTACTGTTACTGCTGGCCCAACAGGTAATGAAATCAGTCAGATTGAGGGGCTTGAGGGCCTACAGCTTCTGGAGGAGCTGGTGTTGGATCATAACCGCATTAAAACGATTTTGGAAAGCTCCTTTGCTAAGCAGAGCTCCCTTTGTGCACTTCACCTGGAGGAAAACCGAATACGAGAGCTGAACAATTTGCAGTCGTTGGTAAAACTGCAGAAACTTTTCCTGGGATATAATAAAATCCAGGTACAATGTGTTTGTGTTGATACTGTAGATTCAGTGGGCCAGAGGTTGCAGCTCCTACTCAGGCCAGGTCCCTTTACTTTCAGTGGACTTTCCTGAGTAAAGACCCCTGCATTTGTTCCAATGTATATTAATTAACTGTAAGACGTGAAATGTCTTGGCAATAACTTTCTTTTTTAACATTCGAACAGGAACTATCTGAACTGGAAAAACTTGAAGTTATTCCTAGCCTTAAAGAGCTTTCAATATCTGGAAATCCAGTGAGTATGCATAAACTAAGGGCACATTTCAGTTACTGTTCTGGGTAATTACCCTTCTGATTCATTTAAAAGTGTTAAGAATTTCTCTGTAGTTAACTACGAAATTTCATTCTCCCACGGTTTGAGGGGCCTGGTCCTGTGCTCCCTGGAAATTCCCAGGCAGGATCAGGACTCTTGAGCCTTGAGTGCACTTGCCCTGCCTTCACCACTTACAGAGATGTGCCCCAGAGATTCCTGAGGGCACATCTCTGTAAGTGGGGAAACCTTGGCTTTCCCTGCTTATAGAGACATGCCCTGAGATTTACAGAGATGAGCCCTGGGCAGAGGAGAAAGCCAGGCAGGGGCTTCCAGGTCTTGAGAGACCCAGTCCTGTGCGAGAATTCCTGGGTATGCAAGATCAGGCCCCCTCAAGCCCACAGAATACCTGCTCAGGGCAGCTGGAGAGCATAGGTAGCTCCAGGCTGCTCATGCTCTTGCACCATAAAGCAAACAGATGTCTGTCACTAAATAGCAGTACAACTTGATACCACCTTCATCACAGCCATGTATTTTGGGCATTTGTGGCATGGCAAGGGACATCAGTTTGCTTGGGCTTGTTGCTGCCCTAAAAATGTTCATAGCAACACAAAGGTGAAGAAAGACGATGTCTGTTTTCACCGTCAGTGTCTGTCACAGTGGCAGAGCAATTTGAATGCAAGAATTCATCTGTGTATTGTTTTGCTGCAAGATAAAAAAAAGTTTGTGTTTGCACGTGCGTGCTGTGGTAGTGAGTTGTCTTTTCCAAATTCCAAAAATAGGTCATATTTTGGAAACAGAACATAGTTTGATAAAGATCTGAATTTTTTTCAATATAAAAATCTTCTGAAACTATATTTTTGTTCATTTATATAACTCCACTCATAAAAGGTCTCTATGAAATGTTTACGCTTATTTTTTTCCTCCTAGCTCTGCTTTTATTTTTCAGTTTGGTTAGACTTGTTTTGCATTTTCTTTCTTTGGGAACATAACAATTAGAAGAATATAATATAGAGGAGATGAAGCTATTACCAGGCTTTTCCACCTCCGTAGAAGAGACTATAAAGACATAACTCTGGTCCCTGTCAACACTTATGCATGTGACTGGATCCATTCAGTCAAACACAAAACTATTGACTTCAAAGGGGTGGGTTTGAATGCAGTGGGACCAACAGTTTGAGTAAGTTTTATTCAAACTGTTGAATAAACAGTTTGAATACTCAGTTTATGTATTTGAGGTGCTTTGGAAGAATCAGAATTAAAAGTGTCATCAAGCAAACGCTTTTCAGCTGTGAATGGAAACCGGAAATAATTTTGGCTTCTAATATGAAATAGACTTTGGTTGCATCAGTGTGGATCTTAGCTATGAACCCTGTCCATGACACTTATTGCCTTTCATAGGCCCTTAGGCATCAGGATCTGAGGGCGTTTTTACACGTGCTGTGGGCGGAGGGGGAGGGTGCTTTAATTAGAGTGGCTCCAAGAGCTGCTGTAATTAAAGCACCCGCAACCTCTTATGCACGAGCATTCCCACAGCTCAAAACGGTGGCAGGGGCACATTAGCTAAAGCTCGTTTGATGAGCTTTAGTTAAAGTGCCCCTGCCACCGTTTTGAAGCACAGGGATGCTGATACACAAGATGCAGAGGCTGCTGGAGCACGCTAATTAGCATGCTCCAGCAGACTCAATTAATCAGGTCTGAGACATTCTATGATACTTTCTGACATGGGGGAGTACTATAGGAAGGCATTGGAGGACTCGGCGCTCAAGTGATTTTAGCCTATGTCATCACTTCAAAGTGGACAGATTACCAGCATGGCTGAAAATAGAGCCCATGCCCTAGCCCAGGATGAAAACACCCTTTCACATTTCACATACTGATAAGAGGAACTAGAAGCAAGACTTCAGGCAAACTCTTCAGGGTGGCCTGTCCAACAGGGCTATGCGCTCTGTTTCTGGAGCAGGGTGGAAATGCCATTTGCTTATCAACACTGGTTCCTAGAGTTGTGAGATTTTCTTTTCCAAACAGTCTCTGCCAGAGCCATATGACAAAGGTAAATGGATGCAGACACAGCAGTCTCAACTCCTAGCAAGCTGCAGCTCTAGCACAAAAACAAACCTGGCTGCAATGGGTGAAGTACCTGGACACCAAACAAGAGCTCAATGAAGGCCAGCAGCATCAACTCCTGCCCACATGTTCTCACTGGCCCTGGTAGCTCTTTGTCAGAATTAGGGCCCTGACCTCTGGACTCCTCACTCAGTCACTTTCACCACTCTCACATCCAACATGGCCTTAACGAGAAATCCCTGCTACCACGAATCACCAAGTACCAGTGAACCTCTATCAGCAGCAGTAGCTTAACTGAGGAGGGGGGCAACTGGGGCAATAACCCCATGTGTTGCATTTTGGAGTGGGGGCACACAAAAGGAGCCATTGCTACAGCTGCAGCTGATAGGGCTGCTGCAATCAGCACAGCAGGAGTCAGTGTTGCCCTGAGCACAGAGCTCTGCTGTTATGCCTCTGATTAGCAGAATTCAGACCCTTGCTAATGAAGGGGAATAACAGTAGAACTTGCTACACTGTTACAGGCCTTCAGGTAACAAAGGGGCCCTCTTTTTAAATCACATTCTGGACTAAAATATAACACTTGATTTTTATCACTTTCCGTCTGTATCACTCCCTGCCTCATCACTGGTCCTCTCTTCAAGTGTATGGTCTTCTCTCTTCATTTTTGTTTCTGTTTCCCAGATGGTGGCTGGGAAAGTTTTGATTCAAACAACTTGCTCTGCAGACCACATCATCTGCCTCATATCATTCTGGATAATGATTCACTTCTCAGGGTAACTTTTGTTCCCTCTCCCTAGGTATCTCGCAAGGGGTTCCACCGCCTATTGCTTGTGTGTCGACTGCCAAACCTCCAGGTGTTAGATGGCACTGCAGTGAGCACGGAGGAGAGGGTGAAAGCAGAGCTCCATTTAATAGAACAGCAGGTAAATCTGATGTCCACTCTTGGACGCCATCTGAAATCACAGAACATAGAAATGGAAAGGGCCTCTTCAGTCCTTAAGTTCCTCTCTGTTAGTGAAGAATTATTCTGTGTATATATAAATACATTTGGTCTGATTCAGACATAAGTAATAGAACTTCCACCACTTCATGTTGGAAACCAGTTTCCAGCCCCCCACAGTCAGAAATTTGTCCTCTCAGACTTCATTAACCTTTATTTAATCCGCCCTTACTATTCTACAGAATTCCTCCCTCCGCCCTTCAAATCACAGTAGAACAGTGATTCTCAGCCAGGGTGTTCTGGCACTCTGGGCTGCCGTGGGATCCTTATAAGGGTGCTGCACAATATTGGCACTGTTAGGTGTGCAAATACATAGACGTGATTCACAAGACAAACCCAGAGGCTTCAGATAGAATTCCATAGGGTCAGAAACACTCCGGCCTCTTGTGGTCTTTCTGAGTTTTTTGAATGGAAGGATCGATCTGCTCTTTTGTCATTATCGGAAAAACTAAGAGCTGCCATTTTCTACAGGGTGCTTTGAGTCTAACAAAGTTGAGAACTGCTGCTCTGCAAGCTTGTTCTAATGACCTTTTCTCCATAGTTGTCGTAGGGAAGTTTTCTAATGTTTCCTCCTAGCCCCCGTGGTAATTGTTATTACTTTCCTCCATGTCACCTTCAATTTATAAATGGCTTTATGATGAGGAGATGCACAGAAGTGAGCACAATACTCCAGATGCAGTTGTACCACACTGAGTAGACAACAGATGGGATGTTCAAAGGAGCTGAAGAAATGAGACCCACAGAAGCAGTTGAATTTCAATGGAATCAGGGTGATCAGCTCTTTCAGGCTCCTTTGAAAGTCTCAGTTTGGGATAGCTACCTCCCTGCTTCTCCATAATGATGTCTCTGCAATATGCTGTCCACAGCTGCACAGGCCTCTTTTGCTGCTGTCTGTATCAAGCTATTTTGCTTTCTGCCTTTCCTGTTGGAAGCTTCTTGTTGTCTTTTTCATTGCCCCTTCTATACTATCCCCTGCCACCTGTCTCTGCTCAGAAGCTGCTTGTGGGGTGGGGGGAGGATACTCCCTGCGTGGCCACTGTTTCCAGCTTCATCATCTACTTGTTAAACTTTCAGCCACCTTCATATTTCTCCTGGGCTGCCCCTTATGCTCAGGAGAAGCTCCCTAGCCAAGCTACTTTATCACCCTCCTTTGTATCTCTCCCCGAAACTCCTCTGTGCTGTGACACCAACAAAACCTTGACTGCCGTTTGTAATGAGAGCAGCGACTGTCTCTCCAGCCAGTATCATCTTATTATTTCCTGGTGCCTGCTTATCCATTTGTTTGTCCATATCTACCTCTTGCCTCTTTTCCTATACTTAGATTGTAAGCTTGTATGGCACAAACCATCTCTTTATTTATGGGGTCCTGATCCCTGACTTTGTTTCTTAGATGTAACAAGCCGGCTGGGATAGGAGACCAACACACAATGTGCAGCCTTGCCCACAAGAGCTAAAGCTGCTCGTTACCACAGACCACATCCTGAGAGCTCTGTCGTACCGCAGCAAACTGGGGTTTGCTCATACCCAGAGGTGGAATTTCTCCAAAACTTGGCTTAATTTCTCCCATGATTCTCCTTTTATGCAAAGCGCGACACACATTTTTCAACTGCCCATTTCTATGACAGGATAAATGTAACATAGTGAGGAGGCCTGGGTTCTGCACTCAGCTCTGCCACTTACATGCTGTGAGACTCTGAATTACTAAGAAAGTTATTTTGCTGTTCATGTCTTGGTTCTTTTCTGTATGAAATTGTTTAATGGTTCATGCCCACCAGTTTGAAGTGTATGGATTAAACAGTGCCATATAGAAATAGCAAGGATTATTATAGGTTTCACTAAGGTCCATCTGTATTGCCCATTAGTTCAGCTTTCCCACAAACATCCTGGTGCCATGTATGAGGAGAGCTCCTCGCAGACATCTACAAAGCCACTCTGTTACCCTCCTCAGTGCCTACAAAACACTCGGCACCTCTTATATCCAACCCAAGTGGTGTGCTACAAACACTGCTTATTACACCGACATGAATCTTTTACCTTGTTCTCCCCATTTGCTGGCTGTATCCACCTGGTGTCTTCCATATTCTCACTGTCAGTTCCTTGGGGCACAAACAGTTCTTTTGTCATGCATGTCAAAAGCCTTATTGTGATAAGGGCCTCTGGGTGCTCTTTTAGTACAAATAAAAAAAATAGGTGGCATTTGTTTTTCCTTGATCTTGGAGCTAATGTTGATAGCAAGTCACCTTCTAACCAGGTACCTCAGTGTCCCTGTACACCTCAGCACATGTTTGCAGAATCATTTGCTATCACAGCTCTCTGTGTGGATGTACTTGACACAACCCTATGCAGAATCCGGGCCTGAGTGAGTTATTTTGCTAGGAGCACATTTTTGCTACTTGAAGCTTCAACCCTTATATTCAAGAATTCAAAGCACTTGTGGATTCAGCCCCTCCATGTGCAAGTGTTTTTTATTTCAAAACTGACCCATACTTTTATACATTGGACATCACTTAAATAAAAATATGGCAGGATGAATAGAAGCAAGAGAAGCATGTTAAGGCTAGATCTTAAGAGAAATCTCTGTTTGGTATTAAGGTTCAGTGGAGATGTTATACCTCATTAGCTAGAACAGAACTGAGCCATTATCTCATTAGGTCATTGAAGTGGAACAACACAAAAGATTTTTCAAGTTTGTCAGCTGCGTTTTAGCTGTGCTTTTTAAAGTGCTTGTTAGAAAGCAAGACATGAAGCCATGTGGTGGTGTCTAAACTTTAAAAACCACTTTTGCTGTTAAGCTTCAAAAGAGATTTTCCCAGCAAAAACTAGGTTAGCACCTTATTTACCACTTCTTGAAGCAGCCATTAGAGCATTCAGTACATAATATTCCATCCAATACATTTGTTCTGCTGGTTATATTTGTCTTCCATGTTGAATGTTTCCATTATTGAATTAGAGGTGGCTTGAACAGCAGACAGTCGATTACATGGTGTATTTTGTATTTTTGGCACTTAATTTTTTGCATTTAAAAATAATGAATTTCTTTGAAAAAAACAAACAAATAGGCACTGACTTGCACTCAGTATTAGATCAGTCAAGACAGAAAGCAGTGAGTACATAGTCCTACGTTCAAAACACTTGGTACAACATTATAAATGCTCATTCACTGCTGCCTTTTTACAAACCTTCTGTCAGCAAGTGGTTTACAGTCAGGTTACATACTCAAAGGTATCATCCTCCTGATGTTTTGAAATAGCTCCAGCATGCTGCTCGTACATTGGTTCCTGAAGTGTCCCTCTTACGTCCTCATGCAGCCGACCAAACCGTTCTCTTCAAGCAGCCCACCTGAAAATGAAAAAGTCAGGTCTCAAGTCAGTAACAGGAATCCGAAGGCCTGATCCTACTGTTTTTTACTCTCTCGATTTCTGCATTGACATGACTATTAGTGGTTGTTGTTCTTATATGTATTACATTAGTTCACTGAGGTTCTGGACAAAATCTGAACCACACTGTGCTAGGGGCTGTCATATGTAGGAAGAGCCAATCCTAACCTTTGCTATCTTGCTGCCAACATGACAACAGAGAGGGCAGGAGAAAAAAAAAGTTATATCCCCATTTTACAGAAAGGGAACTGAAGCAAAGAAATTAACTGACTTGTCTGCAGTCACTTCAGTTCTCTGCCAAAGCCAAGGTCAAGAAATTCTCATTCCTTGTCCAGTGTCCTAACCACAAAACCATTCTCTCTCTCTCTCCAAGGCCATCTCATGTTAGTCAGCAGTTGTAGGATCATGTTGTAACATCAGGTCTATGAATCAGGTGTATTTTTGTCTTAAACACCAAGATATGCAAACTGTTTTGTTTTTTTTCCATGCTATTCTGAAGGGCTTCCCAGTTGCAACCTCTCCTTTGGAGTCTGGGTTTTCTGGATTCCCAGCTACCTTCCTAAAACCTACTTCCCTCAAAATAACAAACGTGAATCTGCTTGAAGGCATCAACCACTTTTTTGGACCTGACCTTACGTTTACTTATGCGGTTGAAGAACCTTTATGGAATGAGGCAAATAAAAGTGAGTGTAAGAAAATAGTAGCACTTTATTTTCTTGTAATAGTTATACATTGATAGATTCGTAGATGTTAGGGGCTGAAGGGACCTTACAAGATCATCAGGTCCAGCACACCCCTGCACTTAGGCAGGAAAGACTGCTGGGGTCAGATGACCCCAACAAAGTGGGCATCAGGATGCTTTTTGAAGATCGCCATGGTGGGTGACTGTATCACCTCTGGGAGGAGTCTGTTCCAGACCCTCAGCATTCGACTTGTAAAGAAGTTTTTCCTTATATTGAAGCGATCTTCAATTAGCTTGTGCCTATTGTTTCTTGTCTTCCCATAGGGGGCCTTGGTGAACAGATGTTCCCCCAGGCCCTGATGTACGCCCCTAATATGGGCTGCCACCAAGCCCTCTGAGTCTTCTCTTCTCCAGGCTGAACAGTCCCAAGTCTTTCAGCCTCTCCTCATATGACCTGCTCTCCAGACCTCCTTTGGACTCTCTCAAGCTTCTCCACATCCTTCCTGAAGTGCGGCGCCCAGGACTGGACACAGTACTCCAGCTGTAGTCTCAGCAAGGGCGAATAGAGCGGGAGGATGACATACTTAGTCTTGCTCGAGATGCATCAGTAGATGCATGCCAGTGTTTGAATCACTCTGCCAGCTACGGCATCTCATTGGTGGCTCATGTTCATATTGGTTTATGTATTTTCTAATACTTGACATTACTTTGCACATCAGTAGTGTAACTTGGAGAGGGGGTGGGGGGCAAGCAAAGCACCAGCAGCATCCCCTGTTTGGGAAGTTTGCGTTGAGGCAGCAGTAGCTCCTGTGTGAGGACTTAAGCACTTACTCCCACCCCACACCACCCAAGGTGCCAAAATGTTGTTACACCTCTCTTGCAAATTCATGGTAAATAGAATAATTGTAAAAGGGCACTTTAACTTGCCACTGCTATCTTTTAAATTGATCCGGAACTTCTAGCAATTCTCTTACCTTAAAAAAAATGAGGATTGCAGCAGTTCCTTTCTAATTAGCTGTTTTGAAATGATTATATATACATTTAAACTCTGTAAAGAGGATTGTAGTGAAGCTCAAGGATTTGCAAAGGAAAAAAAAGTTAGTATTTTCCCTCAGCTTGTATCAATTTTCAGCAATATTTTTCCCGCTTTTGGAACTTCTGTTCAGTTTGAAGTATTTCCCATACAGATTAACCTATTTCTGAGGCTTTCTTTTTTATTCTAGAAACAGTGGGTGTTAATATTAATATATGAATGGCATGTTTAACTATACCAAAAACTGGAAAGGGAAGAGATGACTTGAACTGCAGAGTTCTTGTTATGCATATCAGCAAGCATTAGGAAAGTTGGAGAATTGTCTCCAGCAGCCTGTAGGGGAGAAGAATGGGTAGAATTCTTGGGTGGTACAGACAGAGGTGAGCGCGTTTGCGGGGGATGCAGCTGGAGCCCTGCTTTTATGATTAGTGCATCCATATACATTTTGTGCTTCAGCTAAGAAATCTAAGAACCCAGGAATGGCGACAAATAATCCTCGAAGTGCCCACCCAGAAATAGCTCTCAGGCAAATCAGAGGAGCAGCTGCTAATCTCCTAAGCCATCTGACGTATCAGAGCGGTACGTCTCGATCTGCACCAGCACACCAGAGCAGCAAGGAAAACGAGGGCAGGTGAGACTTTTATCAGCAATAAACAGGTGTTTCCTGTGTCCACGAGCACAATGCTTCCATTCCTCCTTCCTTCAATATACATGCAGGGAATTCCTACTGTGTTATCTTTTCAGGGCTACTAAGTTTTTTTTCCCCTCTTAACTTTTTGTCCCATCACTAAAACAGCACATTTTGCCAGCCTCTGCTAGAGATTTTGTTCTCTCTCTTTCCTTTGAAAGGACTCCCAAGGTGACTAGAAAGACAGAAAAGGATTCATATACAAATGTTAGTACTAAAATAATGACTCAAACTCATTAGTTTATGTACTGAAAACCAGTTAAAGTCTAAGCAGCTATCCCAGAAGTCCAGTTATTTTGTTCTGTAGCTATTCCTAGCTTTCCTTGATTTTCTTCACTTCAGAGTTGAGAACTTTCATTTAGTAATTTAAAAAAATGATGATACAATGAAAGAAGAAAAGATGTCTTAGGCCCTTTCTACATATTCTATCTATTGTGCAGTTACCTTGTTAAGTGTGCAATAAATTTAGACTGGCTAAAGATGTAAATTAGTTATCCTGCCTTAAAAAGTCAGGCACAGGACTCTTGGTCCTGGCTCCACATTGCCCCCGCAACTGGGAGCCCCCTCAGCAAAGGGGACTTCCAGCTGTGGGAGCCTGCTTCTTACCAATGCAGAGGAAGCCCAGGATCAGACTCCCCCTCCACTGGCAATAAGGTGAAGTTGGATCTAATGCGTGATCCCACAGTCGTGTCTCCTGCCACGCGTGTGTGGCATGGCAGGAAGTGCAATTGTGTGGATCATGCATTAGATCAAATCATGCATTTACCTGCACATGGGGAGGAGACCTCAGGGTGGCATCACCTTTGGTGCTATTGGTTGCTATTGGACACCTCTGGTTGCTGTTGGACCAACTGTGTAGTTGGGATAAAGTTAGACAAGCTTTCAAATGCAAGTTTTTCTTCATCAGGCCTCAGTGAGATCTGGTGAAGAATGTCTTGCATTTGGAAGCTTGTCTAACTTTATCCCAGCTACACAGTCGGTCCAGTAAAAAATATCACCCTAAGAAATCCTTGCCCCTCACACAATTTCTGGACCATCGCAGCTACAGCGTCACTCTGATGTGCTCTTTGCACATTAAAATAAGTCCTGTATTCAGTGGTTAGTATTTTTAGGACTGAGCTCCAACAGAGCATTTTTCTTATCTGAAGACTCCAGAATTCTGAGACAACTAAAAATCTATTTCTTGTCATTGTATCTGACATACAGCAAAAACTAAAACAGCGGGCACCTAAAGAAAACTTTAGGACTTTTTATTTACCAACATTATTACACATCCTGGTTCATTTTTACTATAAAAATGAAAATAAAGGGTGACATTTTTTCCTGCTCTCACACAAGCCATAATGCCAATCAAAAGAGCAAACCAACTATGAGAAGTGTAAAGTGTGGCTTAGAAAATAATGCCAAAAATGTTGTCCTGCCACTGTATACATTGGATAAGCCTTTCACCTTCAATAGCACAATCGAGCTGTTTGCTCCATCTCAAAAATATAACAAAAAGAAGAATCTAGAGATGCTGAAAAATTGTTTAGGGGTGTGGAATGGTTACCAACATTTAGAGAAGGTAAGAGAAGTGGCCAAGGCATAAAATATAAAAATGAGTGATGCACAGAAGGCCTTTTCCTCTTCATGAACCCAAGAGCCAGGAGACGTCTAACAGCATTCAGTTAAAAGCAGCACTCTTAAAAATCCATATTTTACACACAAAGCAAAACTAGCTGGTGGAATTTGCTGTCATCAACCATCCCCAAAGCAAACAAGATGAGATGTTTTTACAGGGACCCTCTGTCAGAGTGTATAGGCCCCTAGCCCACATGCGTGTGCTGCAGTCCCTGTGCTGTCTGGCAAAACAGCCAGCAAGAAAGGTACATTAATGATTTTTCAAGGACTTGAGCAGGGTAGAAATCACTTAGCACCTAAGAGAAGAGCATCTGGCCCTACATCTCTAGCATAGACAAAGCTTTTGACAAATCTAGCCTGTAATGGGAAGACAAAGCTATGCTAGAGACCTGAACTGAAGTTAGACCCTGGTTTCTTGCTGCCATGTTTCCCTAGCATGGCGTGGTAAACTTAGCCACCATTAATGCATTGCTTTGGCTTGTATTTTAATCTGCTTGCTGTGGCTGCTGGGGCCTGGGCTGTGCATGGTGTCCCTGGGCAGCTGCTGGTGGCAGGGGAGAGGTGCTGTGTAGCTGCATAGCACAGGCTGGTGGAGCCCAGGGAGCACTGCACAGGGCTGCTCCCAGCTGAGTCCTGCCCCTGCACACCAGGGATGGAGCCTGGCCGTGGGCCTCTGTGCTGTCCTACGCTGCCCCGCTCCATCATCAGGGCTCCTGGGAGCCACGGGGTTGGGGCTGGGCAAGTTTAGTGCCCTTGTGTGTGAACACACTCCATGCTGCCACCCTCCACAGGTATGTGTGTGCATTTGTGCAGGGAAGCGGAAGTGGAAGCCCTGGGGCAGTGGGAGACGTGCACGTGCGCATGACCCCCCATCCCCACTCATACCCCCATCCCAGATTTCCTTAAAAATAATGTGGTCACCCTACCGATTAGGTGCCCTAACAGGTGATACTACTAATAGCAGAACCCCGGTAGCAATAAAGTAATGAACAGAAATAAGAACTCTGCCAGCTGGATTCATGCAAAACAAGCTTCTTCCCTCCCCATGCCCTTTTCTTTATGGTGGGAAGCACATTTCTTGTCTCCTGCATTGTTGGGCAGACCTCTTTTGAAGTTTACCCAGATGAGATGGACCAATCCAAAGCTGTGATAAGACTCAACCTGTGTGATGGGCTGACACAATAACCTAGCTCCAATGGGCCAGTTCCCCTGGGGAAGCAATGGCCTCTGTCTCCAGTTGTTCAGTGCAGCTCTGGTGCAGGTTTTTCATCTGACCACAGGCACCACCACAGCCAGAAGCATGATCCCGACAGCCAAGCTGCTGGTTTCTCTGCGCAGAGGCTCGGTGTTCCCGGAATGATTCAGTGCTAACTAGCTCAATGCATCCTGTGGCCCAGGGTGCATTAACTCGGGGCCTCTTGTGCAAGCCTTGACTTCCCCAGTCAGTTCCATTGTCACATGCCGATTCCAGACACAAAGAGTCAGCGGAAAAGCCCTGAGTTATGTGGGATGTGAGTCACTTCAGTGTATAGGCTGCCCTTCCCTGCGGGGCTGAACTTCACTCATGCTCCATAACGTCTGGGATGTTACTGATCTGGAAGGTGCACTTATTTTCTGTGTAGACCAGAACAGTGTTTCCCTTACAGCAGCACACACTACTTGGGGACTGCGGCTGGTCGATTTGCACAACAGGCCCAGGGAGCCTAGGGAGGGAAACTGAGAATAAGCTGTTTGTGAGCTGTTGGAGGAGGGATCCTGCATTACCAGGAAAGCTGGCCTCCCTTTACATGCCTCCCTCTTCCTGAGCTCTCTTCCAGATCCTGTGCAGGATCTCATGCTAATACAAAACCGAGTGTGAAAAAGCAGGAGCCTTACACTGAACGTTACACTTCAAAGAAATCCAACCCTATTAAAGTATCACACATGGAGTGAAGGCACCCCTAGGACCTTAGCTCATGCCTGACATCACACAACAGCAACAGGACAACAGACTGTTTGTCATCTCATGTGTACAAGTAAATTAGACCTGGTTTTCATACCTTTTCCCTTGTGGCATCACTGTTGGTCTGAGTTAAAGCTGTTTAGGAGTCTGAACCATGCTTTTTAAATTTTTTTGTACCTCAACAGGCTGTGATCTGTTAGAAATCAAACCTGAATTTCCTGGGCTTGTCTTGGGGGTAGTCATAGCATCTCTAATGCATTTTACATTTAAATTACTCATATTTACTCTTGACCATAACTTCATATTTATCTATTTATTTTTGTTCTGGGAATTTCTTTAGGAATTTCCTTAATTACTAACAATTTCTTATGCAAATATGCCCAGAAAGATGCTACCCAAGGGCCAGCAAGCCTGGAGTTTTTTGCGTCTAGGGTAACGTAGTAGTCACCTGCTGAGTGTCTAATACAAATGAACAGCCAATTATTTGCTTTATTATCTTGCTCTAAAATACGTGGCTTATTGCTGATACTGGTCTAAGTGAGTGTCTGTGTGGTTTGACTTCGCAATGCTTCTTTCTTGCAGGAGGCCCGCCAATAGCCCCTCCAGGCAAACCCGAATGTAACTTTCTGTAGGAATAATGAGCATGAGTGAAATAACGTGCCAGCTTCTTCCTTCGTGTTCCTTCACAAACTACAGGGGAGCTACACCAGGGGTAATTTAGTCCATTCTGCTTAGGTTCACAGTCATGGTATAAAAGCTCATAACAACTGGTGTGAAAAATGTGAATGAACTCCTTGCATTCTGCACAGTGTGAGTTAATTACTCTTCAGTTTTACTGAACTCGGTGTGTCATTTCGCAAAGGTAGATAAGGAAGAAAAATGTCAGTGTGTAAGTAGCTAAGTTCTTACACAGGAAAAACTCCCACCTACATCCACTGCCCTGAAAACATGCTGGGAGGGGGGCGTATTATGGAAACTGCCACTTCATTATAGTACACATTTGTTTTTTTTTATCCACAGCAACCTTTTCACATACACATGCTCACACGCGTGGCCACTGAAGTCAAGAGGTCACTCAAGTATTTCTGAAGCCAGAATATGACCTGTAATTTTCATATCCCCATTAGACCTGCTTCTTACATTTTTATTTTTTAGAATTATTCAGTGACAACAATTAAAATCCCACAGGATATTCCTAGAGTAGGATTTTACTGTATTTTTTTATAACAAACATTTAAGATACCACAGAGTATCACCAGGATAAATGCCAAAATGCCAGTAAACTACTGATCTACTTTAATAAGACTAGCTGCATGGCTATTTAAAAAGTCATCTGAATAAGTGACCAGGTTACAAATTAAGCATTAGAAGGCTTTATTAAAACACTTTAGGATACTTGTTCTGATGCAATAAAACGAGCTGTTCATCCCAAGCTTTATGTAATGTGCGTGATGTACATTTTTCATGTTGGGCCCCAATTATATGGCTGCTAAAAAATTAGTGGATTGTCTTGAAATTGGAGTCTGTTAATATTTTGGTAATTCACCTCTAATAGTTGTCAACTGAGTATCTTTTTAACATGAAATCAGCCATTCATTTAATACATTTGTATTTTTCCCTTGTAAGCACTGTGGATTTGTAAGAGGACAGTGGGGTTTCTTACACTTCGCAGCAGATGTACCGATGGATACTCAGCAATAGCTGCTGCACAGGCTGGCAGCATTCCTGTTTATGTGGGGCACATTTTTGGGTTGTTTTCTTTGTTCTGTGTGTGGTGGTGATGTGAGCAGTTCACAGAACAGCCACGAGGTGTCTTTGTTGCACTGTGAATTTGCTGCAGCCTGTCTGCTGGCGGCTTGTTGGAGCAGATGCTGCTCTCATGCACATCTATGGAAATCTGGAGTAGCTCCATTCACTTCAGCGGTTATTTGGAGTGAGAGAGCTCCCTGTGAAAGCCCTAGGCCTGAGTCCTGCCACTCTGAAGGCACTGGCTGACTGCTGTGCAATCAATAGGGTTGATTTCTCCACCAGCAGCTCACCCATGGATGGTCAATACCCACTTAGGACGGGACTCAGAGCTTGCAGTGTAGAGTAGGACGTGATGCAGACAACACAGAGGAGAAGAAGGGGAGATGTGTGTCTGAAACGGGGACACTGGGGGTGGCAGTCTGTTCCCCTCTGTGCTTCTAAGTGGCAGTTCCATAGCCATGTCCCTGGGCATTTTTGGCTCTATCTCTGCCCTGTGGATGCACAACCGTGCACACATAGACCTAGCACGCTCACCAGACTATGCAGTGGCTGGACAGGTACATGCATTCTGTTCAGAGACCTCCGGTGCCAGGTGAGCAGTTTTTCTTTACATAAAGCAGTTAATGCCCAGCTTGATCCAATTAGAAATGCAGCTGCTCTGGCTTCAGCTCTGTTGAGTTTGCTCCATTTCTCTCTGCCTTGCATAGATTTTTACACCTCCATCTTTTAAATTCTGCCTATTTCCAATTTTTTTTTCTTCTAGCAGCATAGAGCTCTGGAAGGAAAACATCAGGCTGTTTTTTGGGTATTAGCTGGATTCCATCGATCCGCTGTTCAGTCTCATTTTATTAATAAAATATTTCCTTCCTTTGTGAATAACAGGGTAGCTCATGTTGATCAAAGATAGAAGCAACATAGCATCCAGTGCAGTGACATCCCAAGGGCTTTTACATGACAAATGCACTGAGTCACAAGGCAGCTGACTGCCCTCAGGGACCTAAAACTACGTCTGTCAATCTGAGGCAATTTGATTTCTAGCAGGGAAATGCGTGTTAATCTTTTTTAAATTTACCTCCCACCAAAAAAAAAGTTCTGATGCTTGTTAATACTTGTCACCGGCACTCTCTGTGCACCCCAACTACTTGAAAACATTAGTCGTAACACTGATAAACCGAGGCCACGCGAGAGCAGCAAAATTGAAAATGAAGTGTCCTGACACTTCCCTGCTTTAGTGCGAAGCCAGAGTAGAACTGGGAACATCTCACACCGTTATCTCAGCCCATGGACAGACAGACGTCCCCGTCTCCTGCCCCTCCTTCGCTATCTGGTTTTGTGTAAGTGTGACTAGCTGTTGCTCTTACTGTTGTGACGAAGAGTGGAGCAGCACCAGCGGTGAATAATACCTGTCCCCTTGACTGATCTTAGACTGGGCCCAGACAGGCAAACAAGCTACAGCAAGGGCTCTCTCTAATTAGGTTACTGGTTTTTAGAAAAGGGATAAACTCCAGCGAAAGAGCCCAGACATGGATTTAGAGGGTGACAGCAGAGATGCACTCAGTTCCTTGTCTGGATGCCCCCCCAGTTTTCTAAACACACCTACTAGCCCATGCTGTTGGAAGGGTCTCTGACAGCAGCCTTGGTATGTCTTTGCCATCCGTGTATCATTCATTGCATTGAATAGGCTACGTGCCACTGAAAGAAATGGAGTTGCACCTACAAATGCCAAAGGTGAATTTGGCCCAGTACATTCCCGTAACATTACATCAGAGATTCATTTTTGACCCTCTATGTCCATCAAAGTTAACAGGAAAGCAGCCTAAGATATGAAAGAGTGGATCTTGGGTCAAAAAGTCTCCATGCGTTGTTCAAAACATCCTTTACAGCAGGGGTGGACAAAATACGGCCTGTGGGCCATATCCAGCCTGCAGGTCCCTTGCCCCAGCCGACCCAGGTGCAGGGGGCAGCCCGGGCTGTGGTGCATGCGGCCGGTCCCACTGCCCCCTGGACACACAGGTGCCACCTGGTGCAGCCTGCTCTGTCCCCATGCTTGGTTCTTGAGCACGCCGGGAGCTGTAGTCTGTGTGGCTGGGCAGTGGGGCAGGAGTGGCACAACAGCTGGACTTGGCTTCCTGGCAGCCCCTGACACCCTGCTGCCTGAGAGCAGGTGCATGTCCCACTGCCGCCACTGCCAGCCTTCAGCCCCACTGCCCGGGCACCCCAACCCATTCACCCCTCATCCCTGTGAGGGGTGCCTGATGGAGTCTTGTGCGCAGGGTGTGCTTGGCTGGGTGGGTGGGATGGGGCTGCAGGCAGGCAGGGAGCACGTCTGAGAGTGGGATAGGCAGGTGGTAGCCGCAGCCAGGGCCAGGATCTCAGGGCATTGACAGCACAGGGTCAGGGCCTTGAGCAGAGCAACGTTCCACTTCCCGCCTGTCCCTGCAGCAGGTGTCAGTTCCCTGCCCTGCGATTCCCCGTGGAACTGGCGCCCGTCACAAGGATGAACGTGGAGCAGATCACAGCTCCACACTGTCACCACCCTGCAATCCCCTTCCCACCCAGCCTGCTCCTGGATGTTGCTCCTACACCGGTCTCCACAGAGACGATACCTGCCCACCCGCTTCATCCAGCACCCCGGCGATGGGTGCAGGATGGATGGGCCTGGGGCTAGATAGGATAATTCGGCATCTCCCTAGGCTGCCCCCACCACTCCGCACTAGGCTAGATGGTGAAAACATCTGATAGGGGGCCAATGCCAAGGTTAGCACCCCCAGCCCTCCAGCCCTCTAGAGCTCACCAAAACTCCTTAAACGGCCCTCCAGCCCAAATAATTGCCCAACCCTGCTTTACAACCAGGCATTTTAGAAGCATTCACATGACATCATATATTTGGACTTTAAAAAAGCCTTTGACCTGGTGTCCCATGATGTCCTCATGGAAAAATTGGGCAAATGCAGCCTCGACTACTCCACAGTCCGATGGCTGGAGAACTGGCTCCAAGGTCAGACCCAGAGAGTGGTAGGGGACCGAACCGAATCAACATGGCACTTGGTGACTAGTGGCGTCCCCCAAGGCTCTGTTCTTGGACCTGTACTCTTTAATGTATTCATAAATGATCTGGACACTGGTGTCAAAAGCAGACTGGCCAAGTTCACTGATGACACCAAACTTTGGGAAAGATTGTCCACACTTGAGGGTAGGCTGGTGATCCAGGCCAACCTCGATAGGCTTGCAAGGTGGGCAGATGAAAACCTGATGGCATTCAGTACAGAGAAATGCAAGGTGCTCCACCTCGGGAATAAAGACCCTTGTCACACTTACAGACTTGGCAGTGCTACACTTGCTAGCACCATGATCGAAAGAGACTTGGGGGTCATGGTTGACCACAAGATGAACATGAGCCACCAATGTGACACCACAGCCAGCAAAGCAAACCAAACTCTGACTTGCATCTACCGATGAATCTCAAGCAAGGATGTCATCCTTCCGCTGTATATGGCCTTGGTGAGGCCCCAGCTGGAGTACTGCATCCAACTCTGGGCTCCACAATTTAGGAAGGACGTGGAGATGTTTGAAAGAATCCAGAGGAGAGCCACACGCTTGATCAGAGGGCAGGAGAACAGGCCTTATGAAGAGAGGCTGCGAACCATGGGGCTCTTCAGCTTGGAGAAGCGCAGGCTCAGGGGCAATCTGGTGGTAGCCTATAAGTACATCAGGGGTGTGCATCAGGATCTGGGGGAACACCTGTTCACCAGAGCACCCCAAGGAATGACAAGATTCAGTGGTCACAAACTCCTGGAAGACTGTTTTAGGCTGGACATAAGAAAAAACTTCTTTACTGTCCGAGCCCCCAAGGCTTGGAATAGACTCCCCCCAGAGGTGGTGCAGGCACCTACTCTGCACTCTTTTAAGAAACACTTGGACGTTTATCTTGCTGGGATCCTTTGACCCCAGCTGACTTCCTGCCCCTTGGGCAGGGGGCTGGACCCGATGATCTTACGAGGTCCCTTCCAGCCCTGATATCTATGAAATCTGTGAAAAAAAAATGAAGCCCTGGACTCTGGAGAACAGTGCCCGCGACTCTGTGATCCCCTTGAGCACGTCTGTGAAAGTAGGAATCATGGGCTACTGCTTCATTCTCTCTACCTGTGTAGAGTCGACGGTAAAAAATCCCCCCCCAACAAACTTGGCATCTGTGTGCACAGACCCGTTTAAAAAGGTACCGGTACTGTGCCATCTTCAATAGGTTTTGCCTGTAAAGTGTCATTCATTTCATCTAGCATTTAATTCTTCTAAATGGATGTTACTCTTCCTCCCATTACAGATCTCCCAGGTTTCTATGAAACATTATTTGCATAAAAGGAACTGAATAATTTATAGCTCCCTGTGATCAGGGGCTGGTGCACTTCTTAGTAGGGGTTGGCTGGTAATCCCGGCGAGTCGCACACGCGGCTCTTAGCTTGTTTAATGGGATGGAAACTGACAGGTTTTTCTTGTACGTCTGCTATAGAACTCATCGCTTCTGAATGACCCCCGCGTACTTAGCTACTTTTCTTGTTGATCTTGCTGCTCTTTTTCTCCATTAAAGGGAGAATTCTTAAAGGGAGCGAGCTGCAATTTGAGTTCACACTATTCCATAAAATAATAGGGTAGTTTAAGTCTGGCAGTTATCTTGTTCTATTATAAAATAAAATTAAAATAAAACACAAATTAAAATGAATTG